TAGCAACCCCAAATAGGGTTTCTGAGGAATGGCTGGTAGACCTTGTGAGTAACAGTCCAGTGCTTATCCTATAGTGCCACACCAGGACTCCTATAACCCTATAGTATTCCCAGGCAGTCTAACCAGACCCAACCATGCTTAGCTTCTGAGATCATACAAGATAGGGCATATTCTGGGTGGTATGGCTGTAGATCCAGGGTTGGTAGGAAATATTCAATTAGTAATGAAATTATGTAATTATATAACAATCATCCATTTCCAAAAATATAAGTATGGACTTGCAATAAAGAAGTGTATCCAGGATGCTCACAGTGTTGGGCTTAGTGTTATGGAGTAGAAGAAGTGGAGGAAAACAAGAATTCAGTCCTAAAACTAGGGAGAGGTTTGCCTATAACTTGAAGACATATAGTTTCCTGCTTTGCATACTGTTCTTCATATCTGATAAATATTACTTAATTATGAGGCCACATTAAAGATTAGTTAGTGTATGTCAAATTTACACACCAAACACTAAAGCAAGTGATGATGAAATTGAAGAATTCTACTAAGAACTAGGATGTCAGCTTGAGGACTAAGGTGCGCCTGACCCAAGCCATGGTATTTCCAATATCCTCATATGTATACGAAAGCTGGACAGTGAATAAGGAAGACCATAGAAGAATTGATACCTTTGAGTTATGGTGTTGGAGGAGAATATTGAAAGTGCATGGGCTGCCAAAAGAACCAATAGATTTGTGTTGGAAGAAGTGCAGCCAGAGTGTTCCTTGGAGGCCAGGATGGCCAGGCTTCATCTCTCATACTTTGGACATGTTGTCAGGAGGGACTGGAGAATGATATCATGTTTGGTAAGGTGGAGGGTCAGAGAAAAAGAGGGAGACCCCCCAACGAGATGGATCAGCCAAGTGGCAGCATCGATGGACACAAGCGTGGCAATGGTAGTGAGGTTGGCCCAGGATCAGGCAGTGTTTCGTTCTGCTGTGCATAGGGTTGCTATGAGTCAATACCAACTCGATGGCACCTAACAACAACAACTAACTTGTTCGGTCTGAAATTGATCAAACATGTAATCAAGATGTACTGATCATTACTGGTGATTAGAACCCAAAGGATGGAAACAAAGAGGTAGAATCAGTAGTTGGAAAATATGACCTTATTGATAGAAACAATGCTGGAGATCGAATGATAGAATTTTGCAAAACCAGTGACTTGTTCATTGCAAATACCTCTTTTAAACAATATAAAAGACAACTATGCCCATGGACCTCAGCAGATTAAATATACAGAAATCAAACTGACTATAACTGTGGAAGGAGATGGTGGAAAAGCTCCATATCATCACCACAACAAAGCAGGGACAGATTGTGGAACAGATCATCAATTGTTCATATGCAAGTTCAGGCTGAGCTGAGGATAATTAAACAAGTCCACAAGAGCCAAAATATGACCTTGAACATATCCCACCTGAATTTAGAGATCATCTAAAGAACAGACTTGACGCATTAGACACTAAAGACCAAAGACTAGAAGAGTTGTGGGATGACATCAAGACCATCATACAAGAACAAAGCTAAAGGTCATTAAGAAGACAAGAAAAAAGGAAAAGACAAAAACAGATGCCAGAAGAGACTCTGAAACTTGCTCTCCAGCATAAAGATGCTAAAGCAAATGGAAGAAATTTGGAGGGATAGAGCTGAATAGATCATTTCAAAAGGCAGTTCAAAAAGACAAAGTTGAATATTATAATGAATTGTTCAAAGATTTGGAGTTAGAAAACCAAAAGAGAATAACATGCTCAGCATTTCTCAAGCTGATGGAGATTACATGTTTCCATGATCTTTCCACCATTAATTTCCTCCTGTCCCCTTATTCTAACAAGCCTGGTGTACAGCCCTGCATCTTTAAAGTTGCTAGATTCTTTCTGTCATCGTGGTGGTGTGCACCATTAAGGACAGTGCTTGCTCCACAGAAAAATAGCTCCTGAGTCTCTGTCTCAATTTCTTTCCATTTTTTTTTTGTTGTTGTTGTTGTTGCTGCTGCTGCTGCTGTTATTTTTGCAATTTCAAGATATTTATGAGAAGGTATAGAAGACAGTATCCTTTCAAATACAGAATCCTGGAGTCCTGGTGTGGCACTGTGGGATAAAACACTCAACTGCCACAAGGTCAGCAGTTCAAACTCACCAGATCCTCCTTGGAAATCCTATACAGGATCACTATGGGTCAGAACCGCCTACTCGATGGCACTTAACAACAACAACATGAACAAGTTATCCAATCCAATGTTAATCACAGAATGGTCCTGGGCCTTATTGTTTCTCAGTTAACACGTGGGGCAAGGAGTTGTTGTTGTTGTTATGTGCCATGGAGTTGGTTCTGACTCATAGCGACCCTGTACAGGGTTTCTGAGGCTGTAAATCTTTACGGGAGCAGAAAGCATCATCTTTCTCCCGAGGAACAGCTGGTAGTTTTGAACTGCGGACCTTGCTACTGTGGTGCTAATTATGCAAATTGGCCACATTATAAACTAGGTCACACATCCCATCCCCCATTCCTTCTCCATCTCTTACATCCCTCTCCCACACACAAAAAGGAATCAGTGTTGTAATGCATTGTTTGAAAGTGTATAATCTGTCAAAATTGCTGACAGTGTTTATCAATCCTATCACTTCTGCAGAATGCAAACACCAAGAACTCTTGGAAAGTCATGCAATCTTTTCTCCTCAATTTTCAGAGAGTTATTGACCTTAAACTATCTCATGAAAAATTAAAAGATATTCTCAAAAGCATATTAGTCAGCTTTTGCCATGAACTTTCAGTGGGGAAACAGTGTCTACCTGTTGGTGGCAGCACAAGTTAGAAAGAACTCAACTCAGAAAACTTAAAGAGCAAAGTTTATTGGCAGCAGTCAGAGTGTCAGCTCAAGCCCAAATCACTCTGACCCCGAAGTGAGAAGGGGAACAGGGTTTTATACAAAAACACAGAGTGGTTAAAACAAACAGACTTGTCTTGTCAGCTGGGGTGGTAAATTCCAGCAGACCCTTATCCCGTAAGTGAGAGTAAACCCACCAATAAACCCTTATCTTGTTTGTATGGATGGACTAAGTTTTATCCTGTTTTTTCAGAAGTCCTTGGTTCATTCTGGCCTTCAAGATTTTTCTGTAAGAAATTTATTTATTATTTTTGCATGAGGTGAGATGGGGGGTGGCAGGGTGAGACAGGGCTGAAAGGACTTAGCAGAGATCTAGTTTAAATGGGGGCTGTTAGTCATGCTATAACATTTCCCCCTCTAGTTGTACATTAGCTGAAATCATTGAGCATTTTACACTGTTCTCCTGTTCTAGGTGTTTACATGGCTGAGAGAGGACAAGTAGTTTAATAGATTCTATTCGGGACTTTTGGATGTCTTCCTGAAAGGAAAAACAAATCAGATATCTTTATTACACTCTGAGCTAAATGGACCCAAATGTTTTCATCCCGCTGAAAGGAAAAATGTCTTATGAGCGTTCCACTGTGTCCAAGTTTTGAGTCTGGCTAATTTGACAGCTGACAGGATGCCTAGAAGGACTTCCCAGGGTCCAGTCCAATTTGTTTTTTTTTAAACGGGTTTTCAAGTCTGTCTCTCCTTGTTCTGAGTAGAATATGATCTTCAGGCTGGAAGGGGTCAGGTTACCCATTAGGGAAGGAAGCTGACCTGGGAAGAGCAATTTTTACAAATAATAGAAAGTGTGTGATGGAGGTGTTGCACATACCACTGCACCTTTAAGTCTTGGCTGAGGTCAGGTAGAGGGTTGAAGGGAGCTGCCTGGGAAGGTTTTACTGCATACAACTTTTATGAGGGCTCAATTTAAGCCCACTTTTGGGGGCTATTCGAAACAGGTCTAGTCCCAATATAGATAAATTTCCTTATAGTTTTGTTTTTGTTTCTCTTTAGAGTATGGTTCATTTTCTCAAAATTCCAAGTTGAATGCAATTTCCATTTTATCTGTAGGTGTTTGCTGCTCTGTTGTCACTTTGGACATTCTGGAAGCCCAAACTTGGAGGTAATCTCCTTCAAGAGAATGTTCACTATTTCTGAAGTTCTTAGTTCTGGTGGGGAAAACCTCTACCCAACCAGAAAAGGTGTCTACAAAAACAAAACCAGCAAATATTTAATTCCCCTGCTTGGGGGAATCTGCATAAAGTTAACCTATTAATTTTCAGGGGGTCATTTTCCTTGATATTGATGCAGAACAGCCTATCTTGGGATTGTTCTGAATGATTTTTTTTTTTTTTTTTTTTAATGTCTTGTCCTAGAGCCAGGACCTAATGAACCAAGTCAGGCCTCTTTCCTGTAGCGGGTCATTTCATGGACTCATTTAAGAAGAGCAGGTGCTAGTTTCAGCAGATCAGAACATTCTATTAAAATGCAATTTACTTTTTAGCTTTTTACTTCTTGGAACCAGAACAATTCCATTGTCCTCTACTTTTCATCCTTTAACCCCTGCAACATTTCTAATGCTTTCATCAATGCAATCAGTTCAGCCTTTTAAGCTGAGATTCCCGGCAGGAGGGCTATTGCCTCTACCCAGTCTTGTAAGATTACTGTTACACACCCTGCTATCTGAGTCCCTTTTTCCATGTGACTACTTCTGTTCATGAAAAATGTCTAGTCCACCAGATATTGTCAAACAGGTCAGGTTGGCTGAAGAATAATTGGTCAATGATTTCTATACAATCATTGTTCAGCCCTCCAGTTACCACATCAGGGAGGAAGATGGCAGGTTTAGTCGCCCCAGAATTCACAGGGTAATATTTGGATTGTCCAGTAAAATAACCTGATATTGCCTATCTGTCTTGTTGTGAGCCATAGGCTTCCCTTTTTTTTTGTAGCAGGGAGATGACTTGATGGGGACGGGACAAGTTGGCCAGAGTGAATTTCTCTACCTCTTTCCTGAGAGGATATTGGGGTTTTCTATTGTGTGTGGGGGTCAGTTCCCAGGTTTAATCAGACCTTGAAGGGGGATGCTTGTTGGCTCTCCCCAGAGTTCTACTAATCCACACAAGGGGTTTACACCTGATTGTCGATTTCCTCAGGCCAACGTGACTGGTTCAGTAATTGCCAGGCGTGTTCATGAGGAACCTTCATCTGCAGACTTTTGGTTTCAGGAAGTTGTTTGTACTTGTAACTTTGGAAGCAGGTCCTGAACCAGTAAGGGGACTGTTGTTGTTATTGTTATGTGCCGTGGAGTCAGTTCCAACTCATAGAAACCCTTTACAGGTTTTCCAAGGCTCCAAATCTTTACGGGAGCAGAAAGCCTCATCTTTCTCCCGCGGAACAGCTGGTAGTTTCGAACTGCTGACCCTGAGGTTTGCAGCCCAATTTGTAACCACTACGCTACCAGAAGACTAGACAGTTATTATTATTATTCCCAATGAAGCAGTCCAGAGGTTTCAGGAAGAACTGGTCTTCAGGCATCCCTGAGATCTGAGTCACTATTATTGAATGGAATGATAACAGTCTGTCCCCATTGTTATTTTTAGCTGAGGTCCTAGGGGTGGGGGCAATAGGGGTAGCAGAGATTGATGCCAAATCATGCTGGGTCTCCTTACCCCTGACACTGTTAGTTTCTGTAGACAATGAAGTTTATTCAACCAAGCTTTTTGGATTGGCTTTTTGTGCCAAATACTCCCCTGAAATTTGGGCATTTGTTTTTCCAGTGTCCAGGTTTTTGCAATAAGTACATCGGTCCTTGTTTAAGGTTCTCTTTCCTTTTAGGGTTCTTCTCTGGAGTCCAACAGGCTTACCTCTAGTGGTCTTTTAGGGAGACAGTTATTGCCTGAGACTTCTCGTGCTCTCAGATGTTAAATACCTCAAAGGTGATGTTCACCAGCTGCTATGGATTCATGTCAATGGCCCTGTTGAATTTCTGCCATTTCTTTCTAATAACCAGGGTGCTTTGGGAGATAAAAATCATGTTAACCATTTGGATATTTGCTGAGTTCTTAGGATCAAAGTCTGTGTACTTACAGTAAGTCTGGTAGATTCATTTAAAGAATTCAGAGGAGTCCTCAGTTGGTTTCTGCTGAACTGCCCATACCATGTTCAAGTTCTTTGGTTTAAGAACTCCCTTTTTCAGACCTCTGAAAATGTATTTTTTATAGTAGCTGTAATTGTGGCAAGTTCATTTAGATTTCAATTTGTGTTAGCTAGAGGAATTGCCTTGACAGGGGCAAGCGTCCTGTTCAGGTGTTTTGTTTTGTTTTGTTTTTTCTCAATGGGTGCATGTTGTTTTGTCCCATGCTTTATCTCAGACCAGCTTTTTTAGTTGCTGCTCAGGAGCATTGTCAACAGATCCTAAATATCTGCCCAATTAGGATGATGGGTAGCAAAATAGTGGTTATAAAAATTGATATTTTGGTTGAGTCATCCTGGTGTAGCACTGTGGGTCAGTGCGCCAGACCACCAAGTCAGTTTGGACAACAAGGTCACTGGTTCAAGTCCACCAGTCACTCCTTGGAAAACTTACACAAGGTCACCAGGAGTCAGAACTGACCTAACAACACTGAACAATAATATCTCAATAAGAAGGATTTGAATTTTTCCTATTTAACAAGTCCAACCAAGATAGAGAAAGAAGTATGTGCCCAGTAATATCCTACAATGTGCCCTTCCATATTCACTTTTATGGGCATCTGCAGAGGGGTATTGTCTTGTAGAGAAATCACTTCTTTCCTCAGCATCTGAATACGACCTGGACAGTTCGCTAGGTCAAGTTATACTTTTCCTTAATGGCAGCTGCTGGTGTACTAGGAGTTGTAATAAGACAGTGTTACAATCAAAAGCTATATTTCAAAAAAAGTAAGCATTCATCTCTTTGTATATTCACATACAGGGAGGCCTGCTTAGAACAGTTTTTACCTAATACTCATCTGTATTCATTTTTCCTCTGCATGGCTTTTATAACTTTCTGCATTACTATTGCCAGATCCTGGTCATCTATTTGTATGCAGCAGTTAGCAAAATTGAACTTTTCACATACCCCTCCTCCTTCCTCAGCCAATAAGTAGTCTAGAGCTAATCTTTTTGATAGATGGCATTTCGCATCTGGGTCTGTTGGCATGCAAGAAGGATTAGGGCCACCCCAGTTCCATTGGTTATAGATTCAGTTACCTAGGAGGGTGCCCTCATGTTTATAGTAACTATATATAAAGGAGCTCTTGTAGTGTAGTGGTTGCAAATCGGGCTGTGAACTGCAAGGTCAGCAGTTCAAAACTACCAGCTGTTCCATGGGAGAAAGAGGAGGCTTTCTGCTCCCATAAAGATTTACAGCCCCAGAAACCCCGTACAGGGTCGCTATGAGTCGGAATCAACTCCGTGGCACATAACAACAACAACAACAAACCCTTATCTTGGTTGTATGGATGGCCTTCAAGATTTTTCTGTAAGAAATTTATTTATTATTTTTCCATAAGGTAAGGTGGGGGGGGTGGAAGGGGCAGGTGAGACAGGGCTAAAAGGACTTAGCAGATACCTAATTTAAATGGGGGCTGTTAGTCATGCTATAACAAACACACCACTATCTCTCAAATGGACCTTACCTGAAAGCAGATGTTTACCTATACTTTATTGATTACACAAAGACTTTCAATTGTGTGGATCATGACAAGCTATGGACAACATTGAGAAGTATGAATATTCTGGAACACTTAGTTGTGCTCATGAGGAATCTGTACCTGAACCAAGAGGCAGTTGTTCGAACAGATCAAGGAAACATCAAATGGTTTAAAATTAGAAACACCCTGCATGACAGGGTTGTATTCTTTCACCATATTTATTCAATCTGTATGTTGAGCAAATAATCCAAGGAGCTGGATTATATGAAGAAAACTGTGGCATCCAGATTGGAGGAATACTCATTAACAATCTGCAATAGGCAGATGATACAACATTGCTTGCTGAGAGTGAAGAGGACTTAAAATACTTAGTGATTAAGATCAAAGACCACAACCTTCAGTATGGGTTGTATCTCAATATAAAGAAAACCAAAAATCCTCATGACTGGACCAATAAACAACATCCATATAAATGGAGAAAAGACTGAAGTTGTCAAAGACTTCTTTTTGCTTGGATCAACCATCAACACTCATGGAAGCAGCAAAGATCTGTTTGAGGACTAAAGTGTCCCTGACTCAAGCCAAGGTATTTTCAGTAACTTCATATGCATGGGAAAGTTGGACAGTGAATAAGAAAAAAAACAGAAAAATTGATGCATTTCAGCTATGGTGTTGGAGGAGAATATTAAAAATACCATGGACTGCCAGAAAAACAAATATATCTGTGTTGCAGAAGTATAGCCAGAGTGCCCCTTGGAAGTCAGGATGGCCAAACTTCATCTTTCATACTTCAGACATATCATCAGGAAGCACAAGTCACTAGAGAAGGATATCATGTTTGATAATGTGGAGGGTAAGAGCAAAAGAGGAAGACCCCCAATGAGCTGGATTGGCACAGTGACAATAGCACCAATGGGCTCAGGCATAGCAATGATTGTGAGGTTGGCTTAGGACTGAGAAATGTTTCATTCTGTTGTGCATAGGGTCGTAGTGAGTTGGTTCTGACTCTATGGCATCTAACAACAACAACAGCAACTCATCTGTTTCTCATAATGTAATCACCTGCATGTTGCTATGATGCTGGAAGCTATGCCACAGGTATTTTAAATACAGGCAGGGTCACCCAAGGTGCACAGGTTTCAGGGCAGCTTCCAGACTAAGATAGACTAGGAAGAAGGAGAATCAAACTACTTCTGAATATTTGTTGTTGTTGTTAAGTGCCATTGAGCTGGTTCTGACTCATAGCAACCCTGTATAGGATTTCCAAGGGATTCTGGTGAGTTTGAACCACCAATCCTGTGGTTCAAACTGAACTTGCAGTTGAGTGCTTATCTTATAGCACCACAACACTAAAAAAAATTTAAATAGCAGCAGATCATTTTCAGATACAGTGCTGGAAGATGAAATAATTATGAATAGCACCAGAATATTGTCAGATATAGTGCCGGAAGATGGGCATCTCAGGCTGAAAGGCACACAAAATATGGGGAAGAGCTACCTCCACAAAATATAGTTAATCATGATAATGCAAATGGAATAAAGCTCTCGGGACCTTCATTTGCTAACGAGACACAACTTAAAATGGGGAAAAACATCCATAAGAATTCATTAATAGTCAGAACATGGCATGTTGAAAAATGTCTAGGAAAATTGGAAGTTACCAAAAATGAAATGGAATGCATAAAGATAGATATCCCAAGCATTAGTGAACTGAAATAGATTGGTATTGGCAATTTTGAATCTGACAACCATATGGTTTACTATACTGAGAATGACAAATTCAAAAAGAATGGCATAGCATTCATCATCATCAAAAAAAAAAAAAAAAAAAAGTTTCAAGATTTATCTTGAAGTACAACATTGTGATAGGACACTATCCATATGCCTACTGTGGCATTATAGGATAAGTACTATACTGCTAACCTCAGGTTGGTGGTTCAAACCCACCAGTTGTTCCTTGGAAACCCTATATATGGTTACTACGAGACAGAAACAACTCAGCAGCACCTAATCATAACAACAAGGAAGACCAATTAAAACTACTATAATTAAAATTTATGCATCAAACACTAAGGTCAATAATAATGAAATTGAAGAATTCTGTCATTTTTTTCAGTCTGAAATTGACCACTCAAGACACGAATTATTGGCAATTGGAAATTGAAGGTTAGAAACAGAGGAAGAGTCAGTAGGTTGAAAAATATGGCCTTGGGAATAGAAATGATGCTGGAGATAACTTGATAGAATTTTACAATGACTTGTTTATTGCAAATACCTTTCTGAAACAACATAAAAGATGATTTTACACATGGACCTCACCAGATGGAATACATGAAAAATGAATTGACCACATCTGTGGGAAGAGGCAGTGGAAAAGCTCCATATCATTAGCCAAAATGAGGCCAGTACAGATTGTGGAACAGACCACCAACTGTGCTAGTTCAGGCAGAGGCTGAAGAAAAATTAAGACAAGTCCACAAGAGTCAAAATATGACCTTGAGCATAACCCACCTGAATTTAGAGATCATCTCAAGAACAGATTTGATGTATTAGGCACTAATGAACAAGGACCAGAAGACATCAAGATCATACAGGAGGAAAGCCAAAGGTCATTAAAAAGACAGAAAAGAAAAGACCAAAATGGATGGATGTCAGAAGAGACTCTGAAACATGCTCTCCAGCATTATTGTTGTTGTTAAGTGCCCATGAGTCAGTTCTGACTCATAGAGTTTCCAAGGAGCACCTGGTGGGTTTGAACTGCTGACTTTGTGATTTGCAGTCCAGTGCTGATTCGCAGCACTACACACAGAGATTCCATATTGAATGTAAGAAATGAGGAAGCAAGTAGCAAACAGAAAATTTCAAAGGTCAGTTTTAGAAGACAAAGTATTAAAACAAAATTAGAAGTATTATAATAAAATTAGAAAAGACCTGAAATTAGAAAACCAAAAGGGAAGAACACAATCAGCTTTTATCAACCTGATAGAACTGGGGAAAATATTCAAGCCTTGACTTGAAATATTGAAGGATTACATGGACAAAATAGTGAATGATGCAGAAAGCATCAAAAGAAGAAAAGAATATAAAGTCGCTGTACCAAAAAGAAATGGT